TTGTCCCACACACCAAAAGGTGGCAAGTTCGATCTTGGTCAGGGCCCATACCTAGGTTTCGGGTTTGATCTGAGGTGTGCCCTCTCTAGCGCTCCCTTCCTCTCTGTTGGTTTTTAATCAATTAAAAAACTACAACATATCCTTAGGTGAGGATTTTAAAATATGTGTTTGGCCCCGGCCAGTGTTTCTCAGTGAATAGAGCACCAAAGGGTTGCAGGTTCAATTCCTGGTCAAGGGCACGTACCTAGATTACAGGTTCAGTCTCAGACCTCACATCAATGTCTGTCTCTTTCCCTCTCCCTCGCCTCCCACTCCGCCCTCCCTCCCTCTCACTCTCCCTAAAAAAAAAAAAAAAAAAAGTGTTTGTTAAAGTAAAAGAACTCTTTCTAGCTTAAATGAAGTTGAGAAAGTGTCTAGTCACTTGAATTCTGTAGGAGCCTTCTCTATCATTTGGTCATTTTTTCATAATATTAATGACTCTGATAGTAGACTGGGTTGTAAGGGTCCACGCCTGTTTGGGCAGGTACATTACAACCTGTCCTTAGCCTGGATATGTTTTACTAATAAAGTAAGCGAAGATACTAAATTGTCACTGAAACAGTGTAGATCCCCTTTCTGGAAGACTTGGATCAAGTGGGAGTGTGAACCTGAATTAGGTGCCAACGCTTGGTTTCAAATTAGATAGTTCTAAGTTCTATTCCCTTGTTTGCTTTAGCTCATTTGTTAGTGCTAAGCAAACACCTGTTGGTTTTTCCTACCAAGGTTTTTGCTCTGTTCCAACTACCTAAACCTGGTAGGCCAGTACATTCTGTGGTGTTGGTTTTATTAAAGCGATTGATGGAGTTTTGACAGGGATTTTTGCTCTTTTGTCTCCACTGCGGCATATCCTGTGGCATTCTTTGCTCTGCCTAGCCGATGTGGATTCTCTGAGATGTGGCTGTTTGCCTCTAGCTTTTAGGTCTAGCTTAAAACACAGGCCTGGGTTTTGTGGAGTTCCAGTCTTTACTCCTTAAGATTTGTTAAGTGCCTGCTGGTGTGTCGCCCTCTGCCCGGTGGTGAGGGGGTACAGAGACCTGCTCCTCCACTGCTCCTTAGAAACTGAAAGTCGGCTTGGCACGCTGCCCCTGTGAGGATGCTGTGGATTAGTGACTTCCCGGTTTTTCCACTAAGCATGTGTTACTTTTGCAATCAGAAAAACTTAAAAGTGGGGCTGGGTTAAAACACATTGCTGTAGGACAATACAAACAGTGTGCAATCTTCTATGTGAAGTTTTAAAGCATAAAAAGTGTTATATGTTGTTTATGGACACATAATATATGTCAGAGTATAACAACAGATGGGGAGGATTTCATACCCACTTTAGGATATTGGTTATCTCACAGGGAGAGAGGGAAACGGGACTGGGGACTGCCATTGGGACTTCAGTAGTATCTCTCTAATGCTTTAATTTCTTTTAAAAAAGAAAGGGAGGGAGGGAGGGAGGGAGGGAGAGAGGAAGGGATAGAGCGAGGCAGGGAGGGAAGGAGGGAGGGAGGGAGGGAGGGAGGGAGGAAGGAAGGAAGGAAGGAAGGAAGGAAGGAAGGAAGGAAGGAAGGAAGGAAGGAAGGAAGGAAGAGGGCAAAAGAAAGAACAAGGCAAAGAAAGAAAGAAAGAAAGAAAGAGAGAGAGAGAGAGAGAGAGAGAGAGAGAGAGAGAGAGAGAGAGAGAGAGAGAGAGAGAGAGAAAGAAAGAAAGAAAGAAAGAAAGAAAGAAAGAAAGAAAGAAAGAAAGAAAGAAAGAAAGAAAGAAAGATAGAAAGAAAGAAAGGGCAAAAGAAAGAAAGAGGGCACTGACCGGTGTTGCCCAGTTGGTTGAACATTGTCTCATGTACTAAGAGGTTGTAGGTTTGATTCCTGTCAGGGCACATGCCTGGGTTGCAGGCTTGATTCCTAGTAGAGGGGCGTGCAGTAGGCAACCAGTTGATGTTTCTCTCTCTCTCTCTCTCTCTCTCTCTCTCTCTCTCTCTCTCTCTCTCATCTCTCTAAAATCAATAAAAACATTTTTAACTTTTCTTGATTTTTAGAGAGAGAGGAAGGAAGGAAGAGGGAAAGACAGAAACATGAGACAAATATCACATCATCTCACTTACATGTGATGAGAGTGAATCATCCATCATCCGCCTCCTGCACACGCCTTACCTGCAATCGAGCCCACAACGCAGGCCTGTGCCCTGACTGGGAGTCAAACCAGAACAATGCACAGGCCAGCACCCAACCAACTGAGCCACATCAGCCAGGGCTAAAAACATATTTTTTAAAAATAATAAATAAATAAATAAATAAATAAATAAATAAATAAATGTGTACTTTTTCTCCTGAAAGATGAACACTGAAAAGAAATGTGACGAACGTTAACTTTTGTTAAATCAGAGTAATGGGTTCATAGATGTGTGTTATAGTTTTCTCTGCATTTTTATTTGTGTTTGAAAATGTGAATTATATGGTTTTTATACTTTTTTGGAGCATTTTTTTTTTAAGTTTATGTCAAGGAGATCAGACAGCTACTATAAAATTAAGTAATATTTAAAGTAGGATTTATGATTGAGAATCAAAATAAGTCATATATATATAGTGTGCTGCCATTTATATAGCTTTTTCTTTTTAAAATATATTTTTATTGATTTCAGAGAGGAAGGGAGAGGGAGATATAGAGACATCAATGATGAATTATCAACATTTATATGTATATAAATTGGCTACATTTTTATTTAAAAGCAACTTTAGGATCACATCAGTGATGTCAAATAAGGTACCTGGTAAACTTTTTCTGTTTTCTAAATGTTGGCTGAGAAATAAATTTTAAAAATGGGAGGTAGATAGAAAATCATTTCTTGGGCACTGAGGGTGTCCTGGGTAGCATTTTAACATTTGCAAATCAACCTCACTACTTGCTAGTATTATCAGCCACCAGGTATTGTGTTAAAAGGACTTTTTGCACACTGTCCCATTTAAACCTCCCAATCCTCTTAAGATCGCTTAATTTATTTCTTAAAAAGGTGATACATGTACATGATACTGAGAAAGGCACAAAAGGGTTTGCAATGAAAACTAAATCTCTGTGCCGCTGGGTCCTCCAGTCACACACACTTGCTTTCCAAACATCTTGCTACTGCTATCTTATGTCTTCTTTCTAAGATAGGTTATAAGTACATAGACCTAATTCTATGTGAATATGTGGATATGCTTTATGTTAAAGTGTTTTTACAAAAACGGTGGCATGGCATGGCGGTGTGGCTCAGTGGTTGAATGTTGACCTATTAACCAGGAGGTCATAGTTTGATTCCCAGTCAGGGCACATGCCAGAGTTGTGGGCTCAATCCCCAGTAGGGGATATGCAAGAGACAGCTGATTAATGATTCTCTCCCTCTCCCTTCCTCTCTAAAAATCATTTTTTAAAAATTAAAACAAAAATGGTGGCATGTCCTAGCCAGGTAGTTCAGTAGTCCTATACACCAAAAGGTTGCAGGTTCAATTCCAAGTCAGGGTGAGTACAGGAGGCAACCAACCAGTTCTCTGTCCTCTGTTAATATTAATTCTCTTTCTTTTAATAGTTAAGTTCAGTCCATTTACATTTACTGTAATGATTAATGTACTTGGCCTTACTTCTATTTTTAACATTTTCTTTAAAAATTTTCACTCTAAGGACTGTACATACTTTGAAACGTGTACATGTGTATATTCTGTTAATTTGGAAAGCTTATCTTTCCATCTTAGTGTTTATATCTATAACTTTATACCATATTTCTGCAGACATATCTGTAGACTCCTCTCTACCAGGAGCAGTGATAAAATTAGTAGCTGCATTTCCTATCCCCTTCCCACCTGTTTTTATTTGGCTATGTTATTTTTCTTAGGTTTATTTTATATCTTAGAACATACTTTTGCCTCTATTACTTGAATTATTAGCCTTCAATACCTTTTGAGACTTTTCAGTAAAAGATGAGGAAGTCAGTGTACATACTTATTCTTCTACTTTTACTTCTGTCCCACTTTACTCTTATAGAATAGAGTAATATTCCATTGTATATATGTACCATAACTTTTTTATCCACTCATCTATTGATGGGCACTTAGGTTGCTTTCATTTCTTGTTTATTGTAAATAATGCTGCAATGCATATATCTTTTGTATATTTTTTTTCTATTGATTTTTAGAGAGAGTAGAAGGGGAGAGCGAAAGAGAGGGAGAGAGGGAGAGAGGGAGAGAGGGAGAGAAGGAAAGAGAGAGAGAGAGAGAGAGAGAGAGAGAGAGAGAGAGAGAGAGAAGATACATCAATTGGTTGCCTCCTGCACATGCCTCAACCAGGGCCAGGGATTGAACCTACATCCCAGGTACATGCCTTTGACCGGGAATCGAACCCAAGACCCTTTGGCGCATGGGCCAACACTCTACCACTGGTATATCTTTTTGAATTAATGTTTTGGGTTTCTTCAGATATATACCCAGAAGTAGAATCACTGGGTCCTAAGGCAGTTCCATTTTTAATTTATTGAGGAAACTCCATACTGTTTCCCACAGTGGCTGCACCAGTCTGCATTCCCACCAGCAATGCACTAGGCTTCCCTTTTCTCCACGTCCTCACCAGCACTTGTCATTTGTTGATTTATTGATAGTAGTCATTCTGACAGGTGTGAGGTGATACCTCATTATTGTTTTAGTTTGCATTTCTCTGATGATCAGTGACATTGAGCATTTTTTTATGTTTTTTGGTCATCTGTATGTCCTCTTTATTTAGGTCCTTTGCCCATTTTTAGTTGGATTGTTTGTCTTCCTGTTGTTAAATTGAAAGAACTTTTTTTTTTTTTTTTTTTTTTTTTTAAGAGTTGGTTCCTATCTTTTGGGGCTGGATTGGATATAGTTATTGGAGGTGACCTATTTCTCTAAGTCCCTTTTAATTTTGTGATGCAGGTGACACCCAACATTTTTAGCGTCCTGACAGCCTCTTTCCTTATTTGCTTTTAGCATCCAGCCTGTGTATGGAGCACAGCACCCTCCTCTGGACCCTCGGCTCACCAAAAAGTAAGTCGAGTTGTTTTTCCTTTCATTTGAGTAATTCTTTCATCACCCGCTAGCACTCCCCTACTTTGTTGAAATGACGCTTTTCACTTTGGCCTTTTCTAGCTTTTTTGCTCTCTTTTGGATCAGATGAATAATTTTATCTCTGAACATCTGTTATTAAGTGGGAAATGAATTCACTTAAAAGATTTCTTTTCTACGTTGGTAGTAGACATATAGGATGTCTCAAAATGTATACATACACTTTGAATAATGATAAAGGCAGTGTTTATTAAAATACATTTATGAGCATAACCATGGACACAGATGAAGGGTGGGGTGGGGTGGGGTGAGAGCATGTGCTGAGGGTTGGAGGCAGCTGGGAAGAGGTCAATGGGGGGAAAAGGAGATTTATATAATGCATTAAACAATAAAGAATTTAAATTTAAAAATACATTTCATTTTCAAAATTGAGCTATCAGCTATTAAAATGTGAATACATTCCTTTGAGACGCCCTGTGTAGGATTTGATGTTGGATTCTCTATTTTGGTGAAAAAGTTTTTATTGATTAACTATTGTCCTGAAATTGGATGATTGAGGACCTCCTTCAAGCGAGAAATCTGGTTTGTGGGGCTCCTGGCTTCTGAACAAAGATAGGTCGGCCTTTTGTGCACTCGTACCCTGAAAATTAGAGCACAAAGAAATAACTCTAGGGCTGGCTTTCTTCTCATCCTCTTTCTGTTTGACACATTCAAGGAAACCCAGCCACCATACAATAGAACTAAAAGCTCCCTAGAGACTATTTCTGTAGTAAATTCTAATAAAGTATTTTCAAACACAATAGAGACCCTAGCTAAGTCCAAGATCTATGGATGTATATCCATGCCTCTAAATATCACTTTATCACAACTTTCTCTAATGGTCCAACTCAGTCACAATGAGGATATGGGTCATTTTCTCAGATTTTCTAAGAACTTTGGCCTCTATCTTTGAGTATAAATGTGGTACCTTTATACTTAAATATTAGTTTAAATATTATTTTTATTAAGTATAAATATTAATTTGTACTAAAAGCTGAGAGCTGTAGGAGACCTAGGTTCTCATCCTCCTAGGGCCTGTGAAATAATATCCACCCTTTCTTCCTTCACAGTCAATGGGGAAGTGAAGATAATGTACATTACAGTATTTTGAATATCTAAAAAAGTGCTATATCAACTATACATTACTAATATTTTATTTTTTTATTGATTTTCTAGAGAGATAAAGGGAGAGTGAGAGAGAGAGGGAGAGAAAGAAACATCAATGTGAGAGAGAAACATCATAGATTCTGCAATCTGGCTGTGTGCTCTTATCGGGAATCGAACCAGTCACCTTTTGGTGTATGGGATGATGCTCCAACCAACCGAACCACAATGGCCAGGGCTACATTAGTAATATTTTAATATTTTAAAAATAACTTAGTGTAATGTATGGTGAACTTTCTGTAATTCAACCTAGTCATGTTTGTTTGTTTGTTTGTTTTGTTTTGTTTTTGTAATTTGGCCGTATGTAGAAGTACAGTTTTACTTTGGAAGTATGACTGCTGTTATTTTCTGTAAGACTTTATATCAGAAACCACTAAGCTCTTTGAGGGCAGGGGCTTTGTTTTGTTCACCACTTTACTCTTCGGACCGGGAGCAGCATGTAGCACACAGTAGGCATTGAGTAAACATTTATGGAATGAAAGAATGTAATTCTTCACTTAGATAGTAGACTTTTATTTCATGTTTCTTAGTGTGTACTTTGTATTAGCTCTAAGGAGAGCATGTTTTCTGTGATATTTCCATTAAGTAGAATGAATTCTATTTCCTGGTTTTACCAACAACAAACTACCTGGTCTTTGGCTAGTAAAGCAAGAGCTGGATTACCTACCCAACAGTCTCTCCTGGCCCTGCTTTTTTAAGAACCATAATTTTATTCAGCTATTAATAAGATGACAGTATACTTAGAGCAGGTGTCTGGATTAGTTTACGTCTTTTACAGTAATTTCTGGTAATCCCAATAACTGGTCTATGGTGGCCTCATCTCATGGACTCTGGCCAATGAGACATAAGAAAGTATCCTGAGGGAGAGTTCTTGGAAAGATTTCTTTTGATCAGAGAGAGATTATTTGTGAAGAAAGCCTCTTTTGCCTCTGCTCACATTTCCTGCTTTTGAATGTGGTAGTGTGAAACTAAGATGCAGAAACTATTTGTAACCAGAGGGAAAGAGCAAGAGAATTGCAGAGACACCAGCCAGCCCTGACATTGTGATCTTTATCACTTAAGCATCATAGTTGAGAATTCAGTTCCTTGCAGCCAGTTTTGTTCACAGCCAGGATTTATTGATTAGTAATAGATCCATTCTATTTTTTTTATTTTATTATTTTATTTTATTATTTAAAAAATATTTTTATTGATTTCAGAGAAGAAGGAAGAGGGAGAGAGATAGATTCATCAAAGATGACAGAGAATCATAGATTGGTTGCCTTCTGCATCCTTCACACTGGGGATCAAGCCCACACTGGGATGTGCCCTGACTGGGAATTGAAGTGTGATCTCCCGGTTCATAGTTCGACACTCAACCACTGAGCCACACTAGCCAAGCCCAGCACCTACCTAATAAGAGAGTAACATGCTAATTAACCATACCTTTGTGACATGCACCAGCCAATCAGGAGTGGTTATGCAAATTAACCCAACATCTTTGTTGGGTTAATTTACATATGTGTGCATTGAGCAGCCAGGGGTGGGGCGGTATGCTTGTGTCATAAATCTATCTATTCATACATAAGGCAGTGGAGTGTACTATCCCACTTTATGCTTGGATTAAAGTCATCATACCTTGTCTGCACCAGTCATCAACTGTGTTTTCTCTGATTCTGTACTTAAGACAGGTCTTGAATAGTATCACCATATCCCAAACTGCTAAGACTAGTTTTATATACTCTTGTCTTCCACCTGTTAGTGATATAAAACCATGAATGTTTTAACTCAGTGGTTGGCAAACTCATTAGTCTACAGAGCCAAAAATCAATAGTACAACGATTGAAATTTCTTTTGAGAGCCAAATATTTTAAACTTAAACTTCTTCTAACGCCACTTCTTCAAAATAGATTCGCCCAGACCATGGCATTTTGTGGAAGAGCCACAATCAAAGGGCCAAAGAGCCACATGTGGCTCATGAGCCATGGTTTGCTGACCACTGTTTTAACTGATCAGCAGAGTTGCATTCATACTTTCAATAGAGGTAATCTCCTAGCTCTGCAATTTGGAAGGAATATAATTGTCACTGAATAAATTGTGTCTCCTTTTCATGCACATGGTGGTTTGGTATTAATAGCCTACAACCTGGAAAACACCTAGGTTTGGATCATTTTACAATTCCAGATTATTATAAAACATTAATTGTCCTTGTTGGGGCATTTTTATTACTTTTCCCACTATATGGCTATTGTTCCACTTCAGACTGCTATTAATTGCAGGTGGTTAATTGCCATCACAGCAGAAACCTTTACATTGGGTCTTCAATCAACCAAACTGCATGAGCAAGTAACATTCCCGTCTGTGTGTATTGACTTCAATTTGCCAAATTATTACCAATAGTGATAATATTGCCTACAATAATTTTTATAGCTCATATAAAACTACTCTTATTGCAGAGTGGCCCCTTTGGCATGACAGGCTTCTAAATTTATTGTTCTCTGACTTAATATCATTGTTCCAAATATGGCTGGTTCACACGGAGCCACACTAGCTATTGTGATGACTGGATTCATTTGATTGTTAGTAAATCCCCCACTTGCTTCACATCCCTTACCAATGTCAAACATTATTTTTCTAAACAAATCTGTATCATTTCTATTGCGTGAACAGCCATATCAGTAAAACAGTGTAGTATTAGACAAATTACAGAATAATTGAACTTTTGTTTTCTAACCAGTATAACCTGTAGCCACTCCTTTTCAAAATATCTGTAGGTGTCTGTGTTAACACTGAAGAAGTTACTCTTCACCAGACGACTGCATTTCTCTTAAATGTGCCATTTATTATGTTTTTGTGTGTTTTAGTTTTACCCGCACTTCTTGAATTGCTTTTTCTTTACCACTTCTAGCTCCATTATCTTGGGCAAATAACTTGGAGCCTTAGTTTCCTCACCCATAAAACAGAAATATAAGACTCAGCTCACAGAGTTGTGAGGATTAAATGAGTATCTGGGAAAATGCTCTTTAAACGGTAGTTTGGCACAGTTGTGAGGCGGTGTGATGAAGATGTCTATCGAGGCCATTTCGGTTGTAACTTTGATGATAGTCTTGGTTAAGCTTTAAGACACATAGTGGCATTATTATACCTTGGCTAGGTATAACTTAGTTGGGGTCATGTTAAAATGAGTCCCTCAAGCTAGAATCACCTGGATTAATTTTAACTGGAACTGCTGGAGTTCAAGGGAAGAGAGACCTTTCTCCTCCAATGACCACACCCCTAGAAGTGACTGCTGTCCATTCTGGCTACTGACTTGCACAGTCTGTTTAGTCATTCCTACCAGACGAGAGCGAGGGCTATCGGCGTGCACACTGGGAGCTATGATAGCTATGCTGTCATGTGCTCAGCTTGTGTGGCAACTCCTCTCCCCAGGCTGCAGGTCCCACAGGGCTCAACTCCCCCCTCCCGCTCCGTTTTTCTAGGGGGAGTAGTTCAAGAGCATGCAGGCTCTGCAGTGAGTGGGCCTGGATTTGAGCCCAATCTTTGCTGCCCGCCCAGGACCTCAGTCAGCTTCAGTTTCCTTATCTGTAAACTAGAGGCCCAGTGCAGACAATCGTGTACTTAGGGTGGGGGTCCCTTAGTCCGGCCTGTGTCCTCTAAGCCGGCAGGCGGACATCCCTGAGGGTCCTTAGCGCTGCCGCAGAGACTCCTGCCACTGCCGCTGCACTCACCAGCCAGGAGCCTTCATAAGAAAGTAGGCATGTGCCCACCTAGTAAATAGCTCATAAATGTTAACCATTATGTGTGCATGAGTTTATATTATCCCCTCTGGAGAGAACAAAATTAATGAACCTGGGAAATCTTCAAAACCTTAAGTGTCCCCATCATTATCACTGGTCTGCAGTTTTCTGCTTTCTCTCGGTGGTACACCTGACACCTTCATTCTCGCTCCTCTTTCACTCTGTCCTCAGACTCTCACCGCTCTAGCTGATACCAACCGCTGCCTCCTTAGGGGCCTCTGTCCTCAGGACAGAGCTGACCGTTTTAACGGGTTAGTTGAGTTTTGGGTTTGTGGGGTAGGTAGACCTAAAGTAATTTCTAGCAGCTTCAAAATGGTCTGCTTTGAATCCCGCGTGTCTTTCTCACAGGGAATGGCAGCCCTTCCTCTTGGTTGTATGTGAATAAGTCCTTCCTGTTTCGATTTGCAAAGCCTTTACTAGTATTTGGATAAATTCTAATTTTTAAGCAAGTTCATTTGTATTGAATCTTCACCTGCTTCAAAAAATATAATGAAATACTTTAAATGTATAAAAAGGTATAAAGGAAAATATAGCAAAATATGTGCATGTTCTCAGCACTCAGCTAATTTACCTCCTTCGTTGGTAGAGGAAGCTCAGTGTCTGTTAGAACCTGACCCTCAGCACGGCCCATCTCTGGGTGTAAATTGTAATCTAGTCCAAGTGTGCATCTGCTTTACCCAAGGTTAGACTTCAGCATCCAGTCAGTTGTTTGACTGAGTTAAAATTCAGCCTCTTAAATCAATGTTTTTTTTTAAGAATTCTCAAAATATCAAGAGGTATTTTGGAAACACCAAACAGAAAGGAAAACAGTAGTTAGTTAACCTTGTGATCCAGAGTGCTCCATATCACACTGTCGGATCTGTTATGTGCAATCATAAGGTACACTTACCCGCCGAGGAGGAAAGCAGCAATAATAACCTCGGGCTCCTATACAGTGTTTTACTGGTGACAGGACTTCCTTACACATCTGCCCATTGTTCCTGACAGTGGAGCCTGCGGTGTGTACTGCAGGTTGTGGCTCCTGGACCCTTTTACAGAGGAGAAGCAGCCGTAATGATGAGGCTGGGGCCGGCAGCCTCAGAAGGTCTGCAGGGGAATCATTTGCCTTCTGGGTCAAGTGGATTTAAAAAACAAAATTGTTTTTTGTAGTCCTCCCTCGAGGATCTGTTTTCATTGATTTGAGAGAGACTCATCAATGTGAGAAGAAAACATGGATATAAGAGAGAAATATCGATCGGTTGCCTCCCTTACAACCCCAGCCAGAGATCGAATCTGAAACCTAGGTAAGTGCCCTGAGTGGGAATAGAACCTGCAACCTTTGGAGTATGGAACAAAGCTCCAACCAACTGAGCCACCAGCCAGGGCTCCCGTGGATTTTTGACATGCAGGTATTTGCAATGCCTCAGTTTCATCTTCTTTGATTTGGACTCTAGTACATTTCCACTTATTCATTCAGTAGTTTTATAAGTATTATGACTTTGGGAATTGATGAAAACCAACAAAACATTTATTTCCCACTGAATAATAAAAATTATATGCTCAGTTTAAAAAACATGAATAATTCAGAGGCGTATAAGCACTCAGTGTTAGCATTTTGATATGTTTTCTTCCTGGTCTTTTTTTTTTTTTTTTTTTTTTTTAATAAAGAGACCATTAAAATATATAATTTTGGCTCCAATTTTTACTTTCTTTAGATTGTTTTCAAGATATGATTTTCACTGGCAGTATACATTCCATCTGGTGACTGCAACCATATTTCATCACAAGAGGCCCGGTGCACAAAATTCGTGCACGGGGGTCCCTCAACTCAACCTGCACCCTCTACAATCCAGGAGCTCTCAGGGGATGTCCTACTGATGGCTCAGGCCCACTCCCGTGGTTCTCTGCTCTCTCTGGGGCCTGGAGGTTTCGCTACAGCCATGGAGATGAAGCTCCTTGCCCTGCTGTCCGCTCTCTGCCTCACCATGCGCCATGCGAAGGAAGCCCCAGTGCCCTGAAGTGTGCTCTGTCTGCCAGGCCTGGGGGCTTCACTGATACTGACACACTAAGGAAGCCCACACGCCCTGCTGTCTGGGTTCTGTCTGCCGGGCCTGGGGCTTCACAATCATCACCCTGCGAAAGAAGCCCCCAAGCCCTGCTGTCTGGGCTCTGTCTGCTGAACCTGGGGGTGTTCCCTCTGCCTCTGTGCTAAGGAAGCCCCCAAACCCTGCTGTCCAGTCTGTCTGTAATGTCTGGGGACAGATCCAGCTTTGCCGCCTGGTCCACACGACCCCCCGCGGGGCTGATGGGCCTAGAGGCTGCAGCACCGGTGGAGTTGGAAGGCTGGATCCGCCCCCTCAGGCGGACAGGCCTAGAGACTCCAGCAGCGGGGCTGAGGGTCCTGGGCGCCACCATCTTGTGGCCATAGGGACCACCATTTTTGTCTCGGAGTGATGGTAAATTTGCATTTTACTTTTTTATTAGATTATTAGATAGGATTTCCAATTTCTAGATATTTATGTTATTTGCAGTTTTTAATCAAAATAAATAATACCCCCCTGGCCAGGTGGCTCAGTTGGTTGGATAGTAGTCCCATAACCAAAAAGTTTGCAGTTTTGATCCCCTATTTGAGGCAACCAATTGATGTTACTCTATCACATCAGTGTTTCTCTCTCTCTCTCTCTCTTCCTTTCCCTCTCCATCTCCCTCTCCCCCTTCCTCTCTCTCTAAAATCAATAAACATATCCTTAGGTAAGGATTGACAGAATAAAAAAGGACCACGTGTTCATTTTGGAACTCAATGTTTAATGCTATTTATGGTCTACCTAAAGTTACCTCTCTTATTCTAGCAATAGTTTATGTCCTACTCTAAGGAGTAGTTAAATTATATTGCCATTAACAGGTTAAGTTTAAAATTTCGGTGGGTTGACACACAAAGTTTAATGGATTAGGTTGGGAGTGGAGGGCAGGCTGGGCTGCAGTACTCACGCTGTTGTCCAGGCTAAGGAGGCGCCGCCATCCGGAGCCTCCTCAGTTACTGTGGTAGCAGAAAGTTTATGGAGAACTCACACCTGTTCTTTTATGCTTGGGCTTAGAAATGATCTGCTCACTTCTCTCCTCAGCCCATGTGGCCTCACCTAAGTGGCAGGGGACTGGAAAGTATAGAGGAGCACATGGAATAGCTGGTGAGCATTGCTGTCTTGCTACCTCTGCTGCAGCATTGGGCATCTAGATGAGGAATGGACATGGGTGTTTTTTGTTTGAAGAAGGTATTGTGTATGAGATTTCTTGTAAAACTATTTGTAGTACGTTAAGCAAGTGGTGAGATGTACCAGACCATTCCTTCGTAATAGTGTCTCCTTTCTTAAAGCTTCATTAAAGAACGGTCAAAAGTCAACGCAGTTCCTCTGAAGAATAAGAAGGCCTCCAGTTTCCATGAGTTTGCCCGGAACACCAGTGATGCGTGGGACATTGGCGATGATGAGGAAGAGGACTTTTCCCCCCCTTCTTTCCAAACTCTGAACTCAAAAGTTGCTTTGGCAACTGCCGCTCAAGTCCTAGAAAACCACAGCAAGCTGAGGGTGAAACCAGAACGGTCCCAGTCAACAACATCCGACATTCCTGCCAACTACGTCATAAAGTCCAGCAGTGATGCCCAACTGTCCAGAAACTCCAGTAAGTCCATCCTGCTCACCTCCATAGCCTCGACTTTTTTAGCAGAGTGCATTTAAAATAAAAGCATTTTTTCTTTAGGGCATCACTCAGATTTTCCATTGGATAGTAAATAAGCAAGCTCAAGCCTAAGGTATGACATCAGTGAGCCTAACTGGTCATAAGCTGTACTTGCTCCTCCCACCTGGGTGGCTTCCAGGCCCTGTGTCCGGAGGCTTCACTTCCTGACACGCAGGTGTTGCCTGCCAATCTCTTCTTTCTTTCCTGCGCTGGGGTCCAGAACTTTGATTGCTTCCCATTGCTTTAGGCCTGGCTTGGTTGAAGAATGTTGACTAAGGTATTTAAGGTTTGGTGCTATTGGTGGGCCTCCTTAGGGTGGGGAGCAGCCACCAGCATAGGTTGTCTCTCCTGTTCCTGAAGGCCCTGTGTCCCAGCTGCCTGCCCGTCAGGGAGGGGGCAGGAGGAGATGCCCCTCTGTGTCTCTTCAGGAGGCTTCAGCAGCTGGTTGAGGTGATGTGGCTTTACCAGATATTGGGAGACTCTCAGTGTGCACTTACTTATTGTTAATCATCACCCTAGGATATTTTCCCATTGATTTTTAGAGAATGGGAGGGCAGGGGAGAGAGAGAGAGAGAGAGAGAGAGAGAGAGAGAGAGAGAGAGAGAGAGAGAGAGAGAGAGAGAGACATTGAAGTGAGAGAGACACATCAATTGGTTGCCTCCCACACTCGCCCCAACGGGGGATCGAGCCTGCAACCGAGGTTCATGCCCTTGTCTGGAATCCAACCCGAGACCCTTCAGTCCTCTGGCTGACACTCTACCCACTGAGCCAAAACGGCTGGGGTTATTCTGAGCGAGAGAGGGAAGTGCTGTCATTTTAGTGAAAGTTAAAACAGCTGACTGGTAAAGGGGGAAAGGAAGTAGAAAAATGCTGAGCCCTGGAGCATGTCCTGGCTCAGGTCCTAAGAGAACTTCTTTCTCAGTTTCAGATTAGGCATGTGGTCATGAAATTGGCCTGGTAGGCCTTTAAAATCATTTCCCAGACACTTTCCATAGCTGTTCCGGGCCCCAGTGTGGACCTTCAGTGCCAGGTGCAGGCAGGCATTTAGTGTTGGAGACCAGTGGCCACAGCTGCAGACAGGGTCTGTGCACTGTGGTTGAAGTGTCCTAGTGTGAGGAAGAGCCCTCCGTGATCCCTAATGAGCTACCTTTGTGCAGCCAGGACATCCGAGGTCCTTCCTTTATGAATCTAGCATCTGCCTGTCAGTCGCTGCTGCCAGACATGCACACGGGCCTCAGCGCTGCGACGTGAGCCAAGTACCTGCGGTCCTTGTTTCTGTAAACCTGATGGTTGTGCTGGTGTCACTCTTCACTGGTAATTCTTATTGTGACTTAAGCTTATAAGGTCCTGATATAGAAAGAATGTGAAATGTCATGCAAGCTCAGCCAGAGTTTAAACCTGAGTTTTGTTTGGGATGGTAAAATAAATAAGGGTTTTGGAAAGATCGAGGTGGCCTCTCAGCTCTCCCTTGTAAATTACTTAACCTCTCTGAGCTGCAGTTTCCTCATCTGAGGCTTAGTAATAAATTAATCAATTCCCACTGTATGGTGTAAGGATCAAAGGAGAGAGATGCACAGTAAACACTCAGTAATGTTACTCTTCTACTGCTTGTTTCTCCCACCTTACCGTCTGGGGTAGAAATGTCTAGGACCATTGTCAATGTCTAGAGTTCAGCTAGAGTCTGCTCTTGCCATTTTAGTCAGATCCCAGCAGAATTAAACGCTGGGAGACATGTGCAGCAGGGAGGAACTGCAGCTACCGAAAGTGGGATTGCTTTTGGCCGGAGCGTCTCCCCCATGCCGGGCACATGGTGCGCCAGGAAAGGGCGAGAGTTGGGCCAGGGACCCCGGGGCAGCGGCGTGGGGCTGGGCTTCCGGAGAGCCACCTCACATGGCAGTGTGCTGTATGGTGTGGTCGTTTCCTGTGTGCTCTGTGATGCGCAAAGGGAAGGTGAACACGTGTTGCCCCAAAACTTATCATTAGGCACCAAGAAGAGTCCCAGGTTGGGGAAGAAAGAAAACATTAGTTTGCCATCAGGGGTTGCCATAAAAGTTCTCGAACTTGCTGCAGCATCCAAGTCTCCATTAGCACATAAGATGCCATGTACGTATGCACAATAAAAAACGCAGCCCATCCTCTGGGCAGAAGAGTTGGCACAGCTGGGTTTCCATCCCCGTGCCCCTCAGCTGGGCACCTCGGGCGCACAAACTGTGCTGCTTGGGCTCGTGGAGGAGACCGTACTGAGCAGTTAGGTCACTCAGAGTCCGCGCTCTTCACACAGCCCGTCTCTTTCTCTTTCGAATTATCTCAGGTGATTCATGCCTAAGGAATGCACTCCACAAACAGCAGTCACTCCCCATCCGACCCATCATCCCCCTCGTTGCCCGGATCTCAGACCAGAATGCTTCTGGGGCACCCCCAATGACTGTCCGGGAGAAAACCCGCCTAGAAAAGTTCCGTCAGCTTCTCTCCAGCCACAACACTGACTTAGGTGAGTCCCCGTGAGCCCTGGGCAAGATAGGGCCTCTTGGTGACTGGGATTCTCAGAGCCCTGGAAGCTATTGCTCTTTATTCTTCCTTCTTTTACTTTTCCAGCATCTCCTGATCTGGTGCCCATTGCAGTGACATGCAGGTATTAAGTCAGAAGTATGTTACTAGGAATTAGGGACCAAATTAGGTGGGACTGGATTCTGTGGCCTGTAGACCATAGTGCCATTATTCTGGCATCGGGCCCTCCCACCTCATGGCGATTCTGTTGAAATCCACACTGGTCTTTCTCTTCCCCTCTAACCACTGAGCCCCAACTGGATCCCTGTCATAGAGTGTGTCCTTGGCACTTTGTTGCTCGGCTGTTGTTGTGGGCTTTCCTCTGGTGCTGTCAGTAGCTGGTGGTGGTGGTGATGGTGATGATCATCTTCCTGGAATGGTGGGAGGCATCAAGCTGAGGTTTGCTTTAGGGCATTTGTGGGAAGAGCTCAATCCAAGGAGCTGTTATCTGTTTGCAGATGAACTGAGGAAGTGTAGCTGGCCAGGTGTTCCCAGGGAGGTTCGACCTGTAACGTGGAGACTCTTGTCGGTGAGTTCTACCCCATGTAAAGAAGTGTGAGCCTCACACAGCCCTTCTCACCTGATGAGGTTAGTGTGGCCCATTAGGCTTACTCCCTAGACTTCTCTAGTCCCTCTGGAGACGACAGGACTGTGGGGCTGCAGTCCTGTGTCTGTGCATGCAGAATGCAGACACACACTCTGGAGAGTTTATTTTAACACACAGAAGAGCACACGTTGGTTACCACAGGCGCAATCTCACGTTCTCAGCACAGGGAGGAAGAAGAGTGACGCCTGGTCGTCCCAGCGCTTGCCCCAGGGCTTCGCTCCTTTTCCAGAGGAAAAACCACAGCGGTTGACACCCACTGTGCGACTGAGAAGAGCTGATGAAGGGCCTCCCTGCCAGGCCTGCCTAGTCCCACTTTCACTGGGGGCAGAACACTGGCCAGCACTGTAACAGAAGCACTTGGCTTTCCTGAGCCCGTAAAATTCCCTCATTCTTCTTGCAAGGATTTATTGAGGGCCTGCTGTTCACCAGGCACTGTGCCAGGTGCCGGGAGGGCATACAGAAATGAATCGGCCACAGTCCCTGCCTGCCAGGCATTCTCCGTGGAATGTATTGCAGGAGTGTCTGGGAGAGGAAGGGTTTCCCTCCTGGCTGCTCCCCACCCCCTGACCTGCAACCCTGAATCATTGCCTCTGCCATTTCTAATTAAGTTCAAGAGCTGTGAAGAATAGATTGGTGAGAACGGAAGGAGAGCAGGAGGTGTAATAATTGGGAGTGGGATCTAGACCAGAGACGAGAATGGAGTTGGCCTGGAGCTTGGCTAGGAGGGAGCTGCTGCCAGAAGCTCTGTGTCTGGACATTGCAGCTGCTGTGTCACAGATTCCATTCAGCTTCCCCAGCTGGTGATTCCGAACGCTAACATGGAAAAGCATGGGTAACGGGCACATACTACATGGCACATCGCTGAGATTTGCTGTAGACACGACCGTCTCCCTATGATTCTCGGAAGTGTTGCCTTGTACACACACAGCCCTCAGAGGTCCTGACGCGGGTCCAGTTCCCCCGACTGACCTAGGAGTACTGCTCTCTGTGCTAGCTCTGCTCACCAGCAGTGCAAGCTCCAAGCCCAGCACAGGCTACAAGAGGAAATAATCCTGGGAACGCTGCCTTGGCTCATCTGCCCACATCTGGGTCTCACTGGATGAAGGAAGGCAGACATGGTGGCCGAAACCAAAATGGGATCCACCCTTGTTTTCGTGGCAGTTTTCCATTTCTCTGATAGTTTCCAAGTCACTGCTCAGACTAAAATAAAAATTAAGGATTCCTCCAACCAGCATCTGTCCCCATCTGACTAGCTGTCCTGTCCACAGGGCTATCTCCCAGCCAACACCGAGAGGAGGAAGCTGACCCTGCAGAGGAAGCGGGAGGAATATTTTGGCTTCATTGAGCAGTATTACGATTCTCGAAATGAGGAACATCACCAGGACACCTACAGACAGGTACAGTTATCACTTGCTGCCCTTCGCTTCCTAGTCATAAACTTCAGGTCTTCTGGGAGTGCTATTGGGGAACAGATTTCCCAAGCCTTCAGGCTATGTGTGCTGCTTAGGAATGATGTTTATTCCTGGGAGTATGCAGTGTAGGTATGGGGGCTCTGGGAAAAATTATTCCCAGAACTGCTTTCCCTTTTTCTAATTCAGTAGCTCTGGTTTTAATAATTTTAAATAGATCCCTCACCCCAAGTCCTCACTCTACCCCAGGCCAATGGCAGTGCTTCTCAAACTTTAATATGCATACAAATAACCTAGGATGTTGGTGAAATCCTACTTAGGGATTATGATAAAAATGCACATTCTAATTCAGTAAGTCTGGGGTGAGACCTTCACTTCTAATCAGCTCCCAGGTAAGGCCAGCGCTGCTGTTCCACAGGCCTCGTGCCAGTAGTAAGGATTATGGGGCACAAGATGAAAGATGCATTCACTCAGGAGTGGTCCAGTCCCCCTGGACAGTCCATCAGCGCCTGGTTAGCACCCATGCCTCTCTGTCTGTCTGTAGGAGTTGTCGCCCTCAGCAGCCTTGGCCAGGAGCGTTCCATCATTGCTCATAGTGGGCCCCAGGCCTGTGGGAAGGTGGAGGGGGAGAGCAGTCGGTGGTTGTTGAAGAGGGAAAAGATGCGGGAGGCAGCTGTCTGCAGCGAGCCCTAAGAACCGAAGTACCCTCTGCCGCTGCCAACACAGTCCTCACATTGTCAGACTGGGCACCGGGGAATCCCAGGCCCAAACCCACTGTAGTGCCCTCTTTGGAAACAGGAGCCAGAACTTGTGGTGCCAGTTACTGAAGGTCAGCTCCCCAGCTTCCCCCTCTTTCTGCATTGTGGCTTCAGGAGCAGGTCCTCCTTGGCTCCCTGTCCTGGCACATTTTTTCAGCTGTCAGAGCTCTTACCAGTAGTTCCTGGAAACTATTGATGACTAAGATTTGGAAAGAAGGCTCCACATTTTGATCATAACTATTAAAGTGAGACAGACTTCAGAGCAATAGGGAAAAGCAGGGGGTCGCTCGGTGTGAAGCCTGTTGCTATTTGTGTAAGTGGTTTTGGGGGAGTTTTCCTCACTGTTCAGTAAGCTGTTGCTATCATGGAAACGTATTTGAGATGGCCAGGTTGGTTTAACTGGACTTTTTTTGTATGTCAGTTAGTTCTTACTAAAGAAACATTGTGCTCTCACTCTTACTCCCTTGATACCCGTTCTTATAAGAAAATAACATCCCAGAAAAATAAGGTGGCATTTGTGTTTGGCCATGGCTTCTCTTTTTCAGATCCACATTGACATTCCAAGGACGAATCCTCTCATTCCATTGTTCCAGCAGCCACTTGTACAGGAGGTGAGGGAAGTACTGAACGTTCTCCGCCTTCTCCCCTCAGATTTCTGCGGCCCTGTTCTGTGTGGATGGGTGGCGGAGCCTTCCCCCTGACCATGGCAGGTGTACAGCTAACATGGTGTACCGTGTGCAGATGTGGAGCTGTGGCCCTCAGAGCACTTCCTTATGCATTATCATGTTCTTCCTAACAGACCCTTGGGCCAACTAGTGCTGAGTTTAAGGGGCTTGCCCCCAGTCTTGAGGCTACCTGGTGACAGAATGAACTCTAGAGCCACATCTTAGAATTCCTAGTCTCGTGTTTGTTCTGCTTTATCAAGCTGAGATAATGATTTTGATTTTTCTTATTGTTGTAAATGTACGTAACAAAACAACCATCATCACCATCCATCTCTACTTTTTATTTTCCCAAACTGAAACTGTCCCCATCTATCCTATCCTATATAATAAAAGGCTAATATGCAAATTGACCAAATGGTGGAAGGACCGGTCACTATGTGTGCACTGACCACCAGGGGGCAGACACTCAATGCAGGAGCTGTCACCTCGTGGTCAGTGCCCTCTCACAGGAGCACTGCTCAGCCAGAAGCCCTGAGCCGGGCTCACAGCTGGCGAGCACAGCAGCAGTGGTGGGAGCCTCTCCCGCCTCTGTGACAGCGCTAAGAGTGTCCAACTGCCTGCTTAGGCCCGCTCCCCGAGGATATCGGCCGAAACTGGCAGTTTGACATCCCCCAAGGGGTCCCAGGTTGTGAGAGGATGCAGGCCAGGCTGAGGGACCCCACTGGTGCACGAATCCATGCACCAGGCCTCTTGTTAAACAATAACTAACTGTATTCCCCAGCAGCCACCATCCTACTTTCTTTCTCCATGAATTTGACTTTCAGTACCTGTAATAAGTGAGTTCATACAATATTTGTTCTTTGGTGTCTAGCTTATTTCACTTCAAATAATAACTTCAAGGTTCATCCATATTATAGCATGTGCCAGAACTTCCTTCCTTTTTAAGGATGAATATTTAATTACATGTCTATAACATATATTATTGATCTATTCATCTACAGTGGACAGTTCATAATGCTGCTATGAACATGGGCAGGCAAAATATCTGAGTCCCTGTTTCAATTTTTTTTTTTTTAATCCTCACCCCAGAAATTTTTTTCCATTAGTTTTTTTAGAGAGTGGAGGAAAGGGAGAAAGAAAGAAATATTGATGTGAGAGAGACACAGCAATTGTTTGTCTCCCGCATGTGGCCCAACCAGGGCCAAGGATTGAACCTGCAACTGAGGTCTGTGCCCTTGACCAGGAATTGAACCCACAATCTTTTTGGTCTGTGGGTCAACACTCTAAACCAGCCAGGACCTGTTTTATACTCTTTTGGATATGTACCCAGAAGTCTCTACTGGGGGAACCCTCATGACTTACCAATAGCATCAAGAAGATTTGAGGCTGACACCATTACTTTACCTGTAAGAGCTAAGAGGAAGCTAAAAACCCATTCAGGATCCCTCTGTGTCTCCTGTACAGTTCCTTACAAATCAGCTCTGCTCATTCTCCATTTTAACTTGGGGACGTTCAGATGCTTCTCCCTGTGCATGTTTACTCTAAACTTGGAGACAGGGAAAGTAGCTTATAAAAAAGGCTTCTCCTTATAGTGGAACCTGAATACAAAGAAAGAAAAATCAAACTGTAGTTAGTCTTTTCAACTTTTCTCAAATCACCTTTCTGTCTAGCAGGCTTTAGTCCTGTTTTTTTCTTTTCTTTTTAATATGTTTTTGTTGATTTCAGAAAGAGGAAGGGAGAGGGAGAGAGAGAAACATTAATGATGAGAGAGAATCATTTATCAACTGCCTCCTATACACCTCCTACTGAGGATGGAACCTGCAACCCAGGCATGTGCCCTGACTAGGAATCAAACTGTGACCTCCTGCTTTATGGGTTGACCCTTAACCACTGAGCCACACCAGAAGACAAATCCTATTAAATAGAATAAACTGCTAACCAGGAGCTGAGAACTGAGAAACCCTGAATATTGAAAGACTTGCTTTGCAAACCTGAAAGGCTTGTCGGCATTAACTAAAATAAGTCAGAATTACCACACTGGTAGAAGAGATGTAGAAAACCTTCACGGATTGCCCTCTCCTCTCATCTCTGCAAGACCAGGTCATCCCAGATTTGTTCCATAGTGAAAATGCCCTGGTCTCCTGTGGTAACCAGAATACTGTTCAAATTCCACCTCTTTGACACCTAATTCAGGGTGAGTGTGTCTGCATTGTCCCATCCTTCCTGTAGAGGACTGGCCAGTGTTTAAGCCAGTTCCCAGGATTTGTGTATTCACAAGGGGCTGTAAGTGTGGAGTGCAGGCCTGGTTAGCCCTAAAAGACTGACCTGGAGGAGCTTTTTAACAAAAACATCCAGACAGGCCACAGGAGCTGTGAGGAGACAGAGTGGGGGAGATAACCCTTGGCATCTTCCTGAACATGGCTGGTCTAGCTTGACCTACAGTTTCTAGGGTCATTTAGCAGCAGAGAGGAAAGAATGTAGATTGGCCCCCATTAGAGTGTTGGGTCTAACACTCTAACAAATGAAGACACTTTGCCCTTCCCTCAGCCCCAGAGAGCAAGTGGGCACGGGTAGGGCAGAGGCAGAGAGGCCAGCGCCTTCCACCCAGGGCCCTGTTCTCACTCATGGAAGTGCAGGAGTGTTGACAGTGGGAGTGTCTCAACTCGGCCTTCTCAGCTGGAAGGCAGGCTCAACACGAGTCTACGGATTCCTGGTAGAAGAGATTCTTCCACTAGCTACCCCACTACAAACCATACACCATTTCCTTTAACCGTTCTCCCTGGGAGCTTTTTGTCCCTCTGCCTGGCCTCTGAGAGGGCCTCTTCAATTTCCCCCCAGAGCTGACTGTTTGGGGCTTTGCAAGCCCATGTGCCCCCTGTAGGCTCCTGTCCCTCTGTATGTCACCAACACCTCTGTGTGATTCATGGAGACGCGGACAGTCCATGTCGAGCCCAGGAGTTGTGGTCAGTGGGATGAAGCCAGGGAGCATTAGCAGGCTGAGAGAAGATGGGGAAAGCTCAGGGGGCCTGATGGAAGCAGAGGGGCGTGTAGCTGAGTGGGACAGGGCCAGACTCTGTGATGGGGCCATAAAGATCTCTTCTTTCTCTCCATCCTAAGCCTCTGGCCTCTTGAGACTAACATGCTTCACCCCAGAGGCTTTTCCATGGAGGCTGTGGCTGATTTCTTCTGTTCTCAGATTCCCAGCTGTAGAAATCCATAGAATTTTATTTATTTAACTCCCTATCCTAGCAAATGTCTGGGTTGCATCCTGATATATGAAGTGACTTCCTGCATTTATCGTCTATCACTAGATCTTTTTCTGTCTCAGCAGGGGAGAAAGGAGAGGGCACTAGAGAAGGTATTTCCTATCTACATCCTGTAATGACAAAAAGGAACTTAGACATTCTGAATAACGACATCCTGAACCAATGACATCATTGCGAACCTTTTTCTAAGCTGTTGGGTCACCATCCTCCCCGCTTCATACTGACTAGATACTGAAAAGACAAAGGGCGAGAAGTATCCACATCTACTTAAAAACAGTTAGTGTCTTAGAAACTTTATATTCCTATACTTCATCTTGTAGTATTTAAAATATTTTCCTGCTCTAACCAGTTTGGCTCGGTGGATAGAGCATCAACCTGCGGACTGAAAGGTCCCAGGTTCCATTCCAGTCAAGGGCATGTACCTTGGTTGCAGGCACATCCCCAGTAGAGGGTGTGCAGAAGGCAGCTGATCAATGTTTCTCTCTCATCGATGTTTCTAACTCTCTATCCCTCTCTCTTTCCTCTCTGTAAAAAATCAATAAAATATATATATTTTTTAAATTAAAAATAATAAAATATTTTCCTAAAAATTTTGCAGCAACTTTAAGATGAATTGTGAGATAGGTCAATGGAGGGAGGGAGTGTATTCCCATGGTTTACAGTCATGTCTCTTTCTTTCCTAGATCTTCGAAAGAATTCTATTTATTTGGGCCATCCGGCACCCTGCCAGTGGGTATGTCCAGGGAATTAATGACCTGGTCACTCCGTTCTTTGTCGTCTTCCTCTCAGAACATGTGGGTAAGAAGCATGAGTACCAAGTTGAACAAGCTATTGTTCTTTCTCATCTTTGGTCTGTTTGTTCTCCCCGAGTGCAGCCAGTAGGCCTGTCTTGCTGAGAAAGGACAGACTTTAGAGTACACAGCTAAGCCTATTTTTTGTTGTTAATCCTCACCCAAGTATATTTTTTTCATTGATTTTCAGAGAGAGTGGAAGGGAGGGGGGGGGAGAGAGAGACACATCGATGTGAAAGAGACACATCAATTGGTTACCTCCCACACACACCCCAACCGAGGTATGAGCCTTAGACAGGAATCAAACCCGGGTCCCTTCAGTTTGAGGGCTGATGCTAAAGCCACTGAGAAAACTGGCGAGGGTCACAGGTAAGCCTATTTTAATAGCAATAACAGCCTGAAATTTCTCTCTCAAAATGGTTGCAAATCTCACCTAAAAGACCTGCTTTGTCACAAGAATGACCAAATTGATATGTTCTGTCATAAACAGATGGTTTGATGATTTATGTGAAGACATTTTAGGATTATTTTGAAGTTGTTTGAAACATGCCCTCCTCCATGAAAGCTGGAATTTTAGATTGTATATAGACTTCCCACTTTGGCTCACATGCTCCGCGCCCTCCCCTTCCCTCCATTCTCACCAGAGGATATTTTTCCCATTGATTTTTTAGAGAGGGTGTAAGAGAGAGGGAGAGACAGAGAAAAACACCTATGTGAGAGGAACATATCGATTGGTTGATTCCAGCATGCCCCAGACCAGGGCCAGCAGCCTGCAACTGAGGCACATGCCCTTGACTGGAATCAATCCCGGGACCCTTCAATCCTCAGGCTGAGCCAAACCAGCTAGGACCACATGCTATTTTTCAGTGGCAGGATGTGGACATGTAGAGGGGAAAGGTTGTGGCACCAGAACCCAGCTCACATTGGAGGTAATGGAATGGACTGAGGCGAGCACCACACCTTGATTTCTTCTCTTCCTCCTCCACCTCTTACCCCACTGGATTCCTGTCACTTGGGTAGAGTGATTAGATGTCACCGTGACAGTGCAACCCAAGTCTCCTCCCCTGGCCTAAATCAGGCACAAGTCTTGAAAGGATTTGAGGATGCTCCCCTTTTTTTTGGTTTCCTTAATCACTTGTGCTTAGAGGTTCAAAGGAAAACCCATCTGTCATGACCTGATGCTTTCTTATTTTTTTTTTTTAATTTTTATTTATTTATTTTTTTAATAAATCTTTATTGTTCATATTATTACAAATGTTCCTCATTTCCCCCCCCCCCATTGTTCCCCTCCACCAGGTTCCCACCCCACCCTCTGCCCTTTCCCCACCCCCCATTGTCCTCATCCATAGGTGCACAGTTTATGTTCAGTTTCTTCCCGCACCCCCTCTCCCCTTTTCCCCGAGAATCGTCAGTTCACTCCCCTTCCATAACTCTGATTCTATTATATTCACCAGTTAATATTGTTCATCAGATTTTTTTAATTCCCTTGGTTTTTAGATTCATTTGTTGTTATGTATTTCTTGTTCATAATTTTTATCTTTATTTTCTTCCTCTTCCTAAAGAACCCCCTTCAGCAATTCATATAATTCTGGTTTGGCGGTGATGAACTCCTTTAGTTTTTTTTTTATTAGTGAAGCTCTTTATCTGGCCTTTGATTCTGAGTGATAGCTTTGCTGGGTAGAGTATTTTTGGCTGTAGGTTCTTGCTATTTATCACCTTGAATATTTCTTGCCATTCCCGTCTGGCCTGCATGGTTTCTGTTGAGAAATCAGCTGACAATCGTATGGGTGCTCTTTTATAGGTAACTATCTGTTTCTCTCTTGCTGCTTTTAATATTCTCTCTTTGTCTTTTGCTCTTAGAATTTTAATTATGATGTGTCGTGGTGTGGTCCTCTTTGGATTCCTTTTGTTTGGGGTTCTGTGCACTTCCTAGACTTGTAGGTCTAATTCACCAGGTAGGGGAAGTTTTCTGTCACTATTTCTTCCAGTATGTTTTCCGTATCTTGCTCTCTCTCTTATTCTGGGACCCCCATAATTCTGATGTTGGTTCGCTTGAAGTTGTCCCAGAGGTTTCTTACATTATCTTCAACTTTCTGGATTCTCTTGTCTTCTTGCTTCTGGGGAGGAGTGTCTTCTGGCTCTTTATGTCCAAATCTTTGACTTGATTCTTGCGATCTTCCATTCTGTTTTTAGGACTCTGTATAATATTTTTTATTTCAGACAATGTTTTCTTTATTTCTTGTTGATCCCTTATTATTTCTTATTGATCCCTTATTATTTCTACTTGATCCCTTTTCATATCCTCATAGGTCTCATTTATTTTATCGGCCTTTTCTAGGAAATTCTTGAAAAACCTTATAAGCGTGGTTTTGAACTTTATATCCAGTCACTTTTTGTCCTCTATTTTTTCGTTTGTGATCTGTTTCCTTGTCTCGGCATTTTCACAGCTTCCCTGACTTGGTAGCCTTAAAAGTCTCTGTGTTTAGCTTGGATGGGGCAGAGTTTCAGGATGGAGCCTACAGCCTTGGCTTCAGTCAGCCCCCCTATGAGGCTCCTGAGTCTCAGTGTTCCTCAGTGTCCTTCGGTACTCGCTGCAAGCACCTCTGAGAGAAAGGTGCCCTCGATTTTCGCCTGCTACCAAACAGTCTAGGCTCTCCCCCAATGAGCCCGGAACTGGGGTTCAGTTCAGTTGGAAGTGGGGTTGGAAGTGGGGTTCAAAGCAGTCTGAAGTTTTTGTCTCGTTCCTGCTAGGGCAATCTAGCAGCACAGTCAACTGTTCGTTCTCTGCGCGCAATGTGTGCGCCTCCGGGACTGCCCTTCTCCACTCCCCTGAGGTTCCGCCTTACAGCCCAGACTCCTTCCTTATGTGTATGGGTCCCCAGGGTCTCGCCCAGAACTGGGGTCCAGTGCTGTCAGAACTGGGGTTCAACACAGTCCGGAGCTTTTATCTCCTTCCTGCTAGGGAACGCCAGCCAGGCACTCAGCCTCCCCCTCCTCTCTGGCTCTGTCCTCTCTGCACGCACAGCGTGTCTCCGTACCTTAGGCTTTTACAGCTCCTCTGATTTTCCTTCTGGTTTTCTCTTTCCTTCTCGTTGTAGAATTTCCAGTCAGTCGACTTTCCTGTAGTTCTGGGTAATGTCCATTTTGTATTTTATTTGTATTTTATTGAAATTGTTGTGTGAGGCTGCAGTTAGGTGTTTACCTATGCCGCCATCTTGGATTCTCCTTGCTTTGTTCTTTTAGTTAAGAGAAGCTCATAGGGAGTCAGAACATTGAAAAGATTCTTAGAAAACGATCCATTCAACCTGCTCACCTCACAGATGGGTTGTAAGATTCTCTGCCTTCTTATTAGTGGCAGAGCTAGGATTAGAACTTTTTTTTTAGACTTGGCATAAGGGGAAAGGATGTGGGTAATTGTGGTTTTTAGAGGATACCATTGTAGGGGCCAGAGAGTAATGAGGAAGTGGACTAGAGTGGAGATTCTTGACATTGGAGGGGCTAAGAAATGTCTCACTTGATTTGTCCTATTCAGGTTTTCTAAGGTTCTTAGAGGGATGGCGTTTTAATCTCCATTAGGCAGTCTCAAAAAGTAAGACAACATGAGTGAAATAAGTCAGACAGAAAAAGCTAAGAACCATATGATTTCACTCATGTGGAATATAAAACTGAAACTTCAGGGAAAAAATAAACAAAACTGAAACATATGAACACAAACAGCAGAATGGTGGTCGCCAGAATGAAGGGGGTACGAGGTAAAGGGATCCTAATATGAGGTGACAGGAGAAGATTTGACTTTGGGTGGTGGCACATGGTGCAATATACAGATCTTATAACAGAAATCCACACATGAAACCTATATGTTCATGTTGACCACTGTCACCCCAATTAATTTAATAAATAAAATTTTTTTTTTAAAGTAAGACAATGGAATGACATTATCCTGTTTCCTTTAATTAGCAGCAACCAGGGCAGAACTGGAATCAGAGTGGAAGGTCACTCTTGCCACTCTGTCAGGTGATCCTAAGCAGAAGCGTGACTAGTAAAATTTAGCCACCAGAAGTGTATAAATAAAGCTTTTGCTAGAGGACTTCTCATTTCCCCCTCACGTTAATAGGTTAACTATTGGAAGTAGCTTAATTTTGGGTGTTTAATTTTTAAAATATATATATATATTTTATTGATTTTTTTACAGAGAGGAAGAGAGAGGGATAGAGAGTTAGAAACATCGATGAGAGAGAATCATCCATCAGCTGCCTCTTGCACACCCCCTACTGGGGATGTGCCGGCAACCAAGGTACATGCCTTTGACCGGAATCGAACCTGGGACCCTTCAGTCTGTAGGCCAATGTTCTATCCACTGAGCCAAACCGGTTTTGGCAAGGGTGTTTAATTTTTTTAAGAGCAATGCAACTGATGGGATTTTTTTATTGCTTCTAGCAATTCTTTGATAGATAGGACTGCATTCTAATCTTAGTAACGTATTTTCCGGCGTAAAAGACGACCCCCTAATTTTTACAGTTAAAACATAGGTTTAGGCCTATATTCGCTGTATAAGACTACCCCCCCTCCCCCCCCCCACTTCAAAGAAAAGACTTACTTTGCCATCAAGATCTGCAGGTAATTTTTGTGCAATTTTGGTCTTTTGCCCCCGATTTTCGGTTGACTTTTTTTCGTTTCAAAAGTTGTCTTATACGCCGGAAAATACCGGTATTTGGTTTGTCAGCGCCCCCTGCTGACCCACCGTGTTTATGCAGTGCAGAGTGGGCTTCTGTGGCAAGCCTTCCTTAGCTGTTTTGCTTCTGCAGTACACTTCAGATTCCCTTCTCCTAGACGTAGGAAGGCGAGGCCCATTCATTTTTTACAAACATTTTAACTATGTTATGTTTTAAGCATATGTAAAAGTAGGTAAAATAATAGTACAAATCCCCATATAATTATTACCTAATTTCAACAGCCAGTCTTATGTCATCTCTACCTCTGTTCATTCTCCATCCCCTCAGCTTTGGG